TGGGAAGAGCACAGTACCCTATGGGAAGAGCACAGTACCCTACGGGAACTTCAGCATCTCCTTAGGCTGGGCTGGCAAAGACCCCGGAGTAGCACAGGCCTCCGGATGCTGCAGTGCTGGGGCACCTGTAGAGGGACGGTTTTTAAGTGAACATTTTTTAGGCACCTGTTGAGTTTGCTCTCTCTGCACTCCTTTCCTGTTAGCAGCACCCTCTTCCTTTGGGGAGGGGCTTCCCAAGTGGCACTGGAGGTGAAGAACCCACCTGCCAAAGCAGGAGACATAAGACATAGGTTCGATCCCTGGGTGGGGAAGACCCCCTGGAGGGGGGCATGGCAACCCACTTCAGGATTCTCGCTGGAGAATCCCATGGACAGAGGAGCCGTGGGGATGCAGAGCTGGGCGCCGCAGCACAGCGCCTCTGGGGAACTTCGTCTCCCGTTCCACGGGCTATCACGTGCACTTCCCCAGCTCTCACTGGCTCCTGCAGGCACCCGCCTCAGTCAGTTACCTCCGTCGAGGGGCCTACCCTACCCGCACATCTCAAGTCTCTCAGGCCTCCCTCAACCCCTCTCTCCCGGTAGCCCCAGCATGATCTTATCACTGCTTTAGTCCCTTCCTGACACTTTATCATTTTGAAACCAGTCACCCGTTTATGACCCCGCTTCCACCTGCTGCGAGAAGTCCCCTGCCCTGCACTGCTTCTGCACTGCCTGCTCCTGACAGAGCCCGGCCAGGCCTGGCGCGTGCTCACAGCAGGTGAGCGAGCCTGCCTCCGCACTCCCAGCATACGTGGGAAGGCGGCTGAGCCCCAGAGGCCAGAACTGCCTGACCCTGGGCACTCCTGAGGCCTAGCTTGTTCAGCAGCTCCTTTGATTCTGGGAGTTACCTAGGAACCTAAAAAGCAGGGTGGGGGCAGGGAATTTTCAGGGTTTTATTAGCCAGTTTTTCTGTTTGCACCCAACAGAAGCTTGATAAAAGCAGCAAAGTTACTATGTTCAAAGCCTTCCCCAATAGCGGGGGGCAGCTGTCCAGCACTCTGCGACGACTCGGGGGGACGGGGGAGGGTGGGATGAGAGGGTGGTAGGGAGGCTCAAGAGGGAGGGAGTATGTGTATACTGAGGGCTGATTCGGGGCTTCCCAGGGGGCTCAGTGGGTAAGAATCTGCCTGCCAAGCAGCAGACATGGCTTCGATCCCTGGTCTGGAAAGCTCCCCTGGAGAAGGAAATGGCAACTGCAGTATTCTTGCTTGGGAAACCCCGTAGACTGGTGGGCTACAGTCCATGGGTTGCAAAGAGTCAGATGCAACTTACTGTCTAAACAGCGGCAGCAGCATAGCTGATTCATGCTGTTTTACAGCAGAAGCCAACACTGTAAACCAGTTATCCTCCAATTAAAATTTTTTAAAAACCTTCTGAATATTTAAAATAACTCAATAAATAAATATATATATTATATCTCATCAAGTGGAAGTATGGCAACTTACTTAACTAATCCCCTCTGACAACTCTTTGTCAGATTCTCCTAGTTTTCTGCGGTTACAAACAACACTACCAGGAACAGCACTGTTATCATCTTTTTCTGCACCTGGACTTATTTTCAAGGATGGCTTCTCAGAGTTGGAACTGCTGGGGTGGACAGATGGCACGAGCATTTTAAAGGAGCTCGCTACCTTTTTCAAAATTTCTTCCCACAAAGAGAGTTGTGCAGCAGCCCGCCCCATCATGCTGCAGTGAGCACTTTCACTTACCTTTGTTGATCTGACCAGCACAATCACCTCACTTTGATTCCATTTTGGGCTTCTCCGACCACTAAAGAGAGTGAACCCCCTGCCCCCACACACGTCCGGTGCATTCTCAGCCAAGACTTTATGGGTCTTGTATTCTTCCCTTCCCTGCGCCCTAGATACACGGCGTCATCAGAGTAACCAAGCCTTTTAATTCCATCACAGGACAGGCTGCCTCCCTAAAGGCTGCTCTCTCTTGCCTCTTCTGAGCGCTTCAGCCTCTCCAGGCCTGACCCTCTTCCCGCCTGTGGCTGAGGTGACAGGTCACTGACGAGACGCACTTTCCACGCTCCTGGTGTGTCTCCGTTTGAGGCCCTTCACAGTGTGATACCAACAGGAGTGAGGGGGTGAACGTGCCAGAGCACACGCATTCCCACAATAAAAAACGAAACTAAACAAGACCCAGAGAACTGCACTGACAATAAACCTACGGGTTTTAAGTAAAACATCTGAACTGCTAAGGACCTAAAGTATCCTTGAGTTATCTGGTTTCCTCACATTAGACATAGGACATGGATGAGCCAGAGGGGAGAGACCGGTGGCCCTGGGTGATGTCAGTGCTAACTTTCTATCATCAAGAAGTAAAAGTCATTCTGAGGGAAACCAAACCAAACACCCCCAGCACCAATGTCCGTTAAGAAAGCAGCTAAATCACAAGACTGCCAAACCAAGCGGCTGTGCACGGCCCACCGCCTACCTTGCTGGCACAGCCATGTGAAGTAAAGCACATGGGCAGTTTCCATACTAGCAAAATACTTTTATTATTTTATAGTGATAAAACAGGAAAGTAAAGATTTCTTTTTGGTGTATACCAGAGTTAAGGAAGTAAAAGAATAAGGGAATTAATAGAATTTTTATGTACTTTGATGACAGTAAAAAGTTAACAATACCAACAGTTTGCCATAAAACTTATAGCCCCCCAAACACATATATAAAGGATCATAGTTTTAAAATCTATAAAAGTAAAAAATATACAGTCAGAAGCTCTAACACTTATTCCATCTTTAATATAAAATTGTAAACATTTATTTACACAAAGCAAATGTGTATGACAAAAGTCCGAGCACCCTTTTCTTTTGAGTCATGGCTCCTGGAAGATGGGGATTTGCACTGAAGTGGAGTTGTCTCCTTCCCTGACTACCCAAAAACCAGATTCATAAATAAAGCCATTGGCAGCTCCCTGGGGGGACCCCAAGCATCACATTATTGCTCTGACACTGCAGCAGGAGAGAAGCCTGCTGTCTGTCTAGGTGGCCCCAGGACTAAGGCAGGGGCAGCCCTCCCCACAAGGGTGGCGGGGGGCAGAGGTGTGAGTGCCGAGGACAGAGGTGAGCGGCAGCCAGAGGGAGACCGGGAGAGGAACAGGGACCCACCACCAGCCTCCAGCCCGCTGTTTTTGGTAAAAAAAACCCACTGAAGTCACCCTCTTCCCCTTCAGACCGGGGAACTCACTCGGAGGGCGGCGTCTTCACTGGCTTTATGATTCATCCCTTTCTCTGAGCTATATTCAGCCTCTGGGGAAGGCCAGGAGGGCGATAAAGGGAAATGGCCCTAACGCCACTCACGGTGGCAAATGGCTACTAGAGAAGACCTGAGGGTCCGCGCACCCCCATGAAAGGCACTGCTGGTGCAAAGTAACAACCAATGTCTGCACAACCCTTCATCCCCTCAAAGCCACTCAAGCTGGTTGTGTGAGCATTTTTCTTGGCTCAATTCTTTATATATGATACTCCTTGAATTACCCATTTTGAAACTTCAAGGAAATAAAAATGGGGTTGTGATTTCGCCAGAGATCATTCTGCATATAAGCCACTCTTTTCAGTGTACTATTTTCCCTCCAATATTCCATTTGAAAGAGTTTCACCCTATGCTTACCATTTTGCTTTTGCTGTATTGAAGTGCTCTCTCCGTCTTCACTTTCCACAAACAGCCCACAGGTAATACTACGTGGACTCTTAGCTTAGTCAAGACCTAAACAGTCATAGACCTTAAAAGAGAAATTCACTTGAATTTTTAGAAAGGACGTATTAGTGTTACAAAGCAATTCTCTCTAAAAAGTGCAAGTCATCTGAAGAGGCAGTGGCAGCAGCAGTAGAATGGAGTGGGACCCCTTCCTCTGGCCTGCGTCCTGTTTCTCCCTCCCCCGAACCTCTATTTTCTGGGGAGGGAGACCCACCTCCTTACAATGCTAGGGTTCCCTGGGGAATTCTCATGACTCTTTTCCTCTCCAGTCTAGTAAATTAGTGCCATAACGAGGTTTTCCACTTGGGCTGGAGAAATAAAGAACAGGAGGCAGAAAGAACGGTTATGGGAAATGAAGACAGGGTGAAGGAAAAGACATCTGTGCACAACTCAGCAACGATCACCTTCCTAACACACTAAATACCAATCCCAGAGGAACTGCAAAAGGTGGGAAGTCACAACAGAAGAGACACAGGAACCCCAGTCTGCATTTCAGCCTTTAGCCTGGGGTCCTGCTCTGAGAACACGGGAGGAAGGATTCCTCAGCCCAGGTCCTCCTAAATGCCAAGCTGGAAGAACAGCATTCTGGGAGAAGGCGGGGCTGCTGTAACGACCACATCTCTGCCACTAGCTCTGCTCCTCACGGCATCCTGTTCCTTTTTGGCACATGCAATTTTCCAGTGAGCCTCCCTCTGTCCTGAAAGCTGACAAAGAGCAGGAATAAAAAAGGCTCTTAATCAAAAGGAAACCCTAAGTTTCCAATGCCACTTATGGATTTTAACCACCTACCCTAATCTGTCTTAAAACCTTAAAACCTTTAATCTTTTCTATGCTACAAATTGCAAATAGTTCTGCTATAAAGTTTCAACAAAAATCTGTCCCAACACTGGGCCAAGTGGAGAAATCTTGGATTAGATCAAAATGATAGCACAGATTTTTACAAACCTGGCATCGTGGGGTTTTACTTTTGGTTTTTTGGTCTTTTGGATAAAAAACCACCTGTAGAACCCTGTCCTGCTGTTCCAACCCCAGACAGTGACACCAGCAGATGGGGTGGGGCCAGCCCAACATACCAACTGCTGGCTGGGAGCTGTGGGCCCCGCGGGCTCCGGGAAGACCAGGCCTCAGCTCCATGGCTCCAGCTCTGCCCAGCTCCCTGGGCTGCAGGCTTTTGGTCCAAAGTAGTTACTCTTTCTTGAATCTGAGAACAAAAATATAGGCTGTATGAACACTGAAAACACCACAAATCCTCCTGCTACTGAGGCCCGAGGAGGTCGTCCAGATCGTTCATCCACTCCTCGGAAGTCCTGTTCTTTAGCAGGGAGTCGATCAGGTCGGCGTCCCCAGCCATGCTGGCCAGCCCGCCGCTGCCCGGCTGCCCGCTGTAGGCGAAGGGCAGCTCCTGGCCTGTGGTCCGCACGGGGTAGGCCTGGGCACAGTGCAGGCCTGCCCGGCTGCCCATGGCTGGGGCAGGGCTCTGGCTGAAGGCCCCGAGCTCAGGCCCCCCCGGGCTCAGGCCTGACAAGCCCGGCTGCGGGGCTCCCTGGGGAGGTGCCGGGGCAGGGCCACTGGTCCTCTGCTGTGCGTTCCCAGCGGGCAGCATGGGTCCTGCCACAGCTGCTGAGCTCATGGGGGCCATGGGCCTGCTGGGCATCGCCTGCGAGAACTGCGGGCTGGACATTTTCAGGTGGGCCTGCTGCAGGTGGAAACTGGAAGCCGCAGTGAACGGGCTTACAGTGCTGTTTCCTGGGGGCTGGCCGCTCAGGCTTGGCATTCCCTGATGTTGCCATGTGGAATTCTGGCTTCCCATGGCTGCTGATACCCTTGGGACCTGTGGCTTAGTTAAACCCGAGTTCAGAGTCCCCTTACTGTGCTGCTGGGAGAGACCAGAGGTCCCCAGAGAGTTCTGTCCATAGGCAGCTGAAACCGAGGTGTTCTGGCCCACGCTGGTCTGCCGTGGAATGTGGGCATGTCCGTTGGTGGCCTGTGGTGGAGGCTGGGCAACTATCTGGGTTATGCCGGAAGTCATGCCATAGAGGCTGCTCTGTGGCATGCTTTGGGAGCCAGTGAACTGAGCCACACTCCGGTCCTGCTGGCCTGAGTTTGAGGGGAGAGAAGAAACCGAAGTGTGTCCAGGGCCCATCGGCATCAGATTTCCAGCCTGAGGGAACACTCGAGGACAGCTGGAGTTAGATGGACCCAAGTTGTTCACGCCAGGCATGGCAGAAGAGGACCCTAGAAGACAGGAAGTTCCGTCAGCCAAGCTAGCATTTCCTCATCACCACTCTGGAGATACATCTAAGAACAAGCAGCAACTGCTATCCTACAGGCACGAAAGCTGAAGTCAGTGCTCTACCTCGCGATCCTGGAACCTTAATGAAGAGAGCCCTGGGGGCCACAGGTTCCCCACAGGGTGGAATGGAGGCCCGTCTGGAGCAATAAGGAGATTAAGACAGGTACATTAAAACAAAATAAAATAAAATAAAAAGGCACAGAGGAAGGGGCAAAGTCTGTGGCTAAGACGTGGGGAGAATGTCTGGGATAAAAGGAAGAGATGGTCCTGGCCAGATTCAGAGGATCTGCAGCCCCCATATGAAGGGACAGGGTTGTAGAGCCGCAGGGTAACTGGACTGGGACTGGCTTAGACCGAGCTGGCCAGGGACTGGCAGGATCACTTGGATGAGGCCCACACAATGCGGCGCTGCAGGGTGGGGGAGGGAGGCAACCAGAAGACACGTGCTGAGCGTCCGCTCTGCGGCGGAGGCCATGCTGGGGAGACAGAGGCCCTGTCCTGGGGAGCCTGCTGCGTGGGGCTCTGTCTAAAGCCGCGGGTGCAGGGCGGCAGCACTGAGGCGCTTCTGTGCGAGCAGGAGGGCGGCTGCTCAGGAGCCGGCCGTGACCGAGTGCGCTCTGTTTCTCCTCTTCTGCTTCCCATTAGCACCTAACTAAAAACTGAGTTGGAAAAGAGAGAGATGCTGAAATAATCCACTTCTTTCCCACTGATTACACACCACTACATTAAATGGGATGAAGGCAGGAAAGCTGGCCAAGGTTCAGCCTCTGAGCAGCCCACAGATTTCAATCCCCTGGTCCCTGTTAGTGTAACATATAATCCCACTCAGTCTCCTCTGGAATGCACAGCTGTGGTCAACTTCACTGGGACATGTTATAGCAAGAATCACCGACCAAGGAAAGTGCAGGTTTTAAAGATATTCCAAGAGCTAGGAATGGCCTAGACTTTCCTGCATCTATAAACTGAGCTCTCTCTGCATTTCTAGACCAACAGTCTGAGCAATGCTGGTCAGGTTCTCTCACATATCTGACACATGACAGCTGAAACCTCAGAATGCTTCCTGCCCCCACCAGATCAACTGGCTGCTGCTGATACCAACATGAGTAGACAGAAAGAAGAAAAGCAGCAAAAGGCCACAGGAGCATTAAGTCTCTCCTTATCTGGAAACTAGGACAGGGTCATTTTTTAAACAGACACATCAACAGGAGAAGCAAAGAACTTTCTTAAGAATTACAGAAGCCACTTCCTATGGATAAGATAACTTTCAACTAAAAATGATTCTGCCTTAAATGACTACGCAGCCAGGGACCCAGCCAAAGCAGCATGCTTCTGTCTTTCTTCTCTGGCTGACCTACAGGGCAACTAGAAAGCAAGGCTCCTCACACAGACTGAAGCGACAGGAGCACACACACCCATTTAGCACCCATAACGGGAAGCTGAGCAGACAGCAGAAAGGCAGCATGAGGGGGACATCTGCGCAGCGCCTGCCTCCCCTGCCCCACACCATCGTCTCAGACACTCCTCACCTGTGAACTGTCCAACCTGTTGCGGGAAGGTGCTCTGTGTTGGGTCTTGATATTGGGGTGGTGGGCGGGTCAGATGGCGCTGAAACTGCTGCTTCTCCTAGAAAATGCCAAGATCAACAGAGAAAAAGACCCACATAAAACAAAAACAAAGCAATCAGAGTAAAGTAAACTGTCCAAGTTTGTTACTCAGAGGGACTCCTGTGGAGATAATGTTCATAATCTCATTTGGGGGATTCTTAATAAACAGTATGACACGGAGGGATGGGGCACATCGCAGGAGCCGCAGAAAGGAATGAAGTTCTGATGCATGCGACTATATGCTTGAATCCCGAATGCATTCATATGAAATGCCTCAAACAGGCAAATCGATAGGGATAAAAAGTAGATCAGTGGTTGCCTAGGCTCAGGAAGATGAAGGAAGAACTTTTAATGGGTACAGGGTTTCTTTTAGGTATTGTTCTAAAACTGGTTATGGTGATGGTGCATAACTCACTGAAAACCATTTGAACTGTATACTTTAAATGGGTGAATTGTATGTCATGTGAATTTTATCCCCCCAAAAGCTGTTATTTAATACACAGTGAAACTGAGGCAGTAATGTGGGCTTTAAAGTCATCCCTATTTAACTTTATCCTCTGGGTAACTAGTTCTCTTCTATCTTAAGGATTGTAATTTAAAGTCCTGAGAATTCCTGTAACCTTGGAATCTGCATAGTACAATCTGGTGACCAAGGGAGCAAACAAACTGCAGAACCAGGAGGGGGTTGTCAGTCCCAATTCTTGAATCCCAGGACCTCAGGGATGTCTTCATTTCCCTACTTTATGTTCTGCCTTATAGCAAACTCTACAACAAAGCTGGATCTCACAGAAAATTGATGGATCAGTGAGCTCAGTGCTTTGGTACCTGCTGGAAAAATGGTTCTAATACATTTAGATTCCACCTTCATTAATCCCTACTAAGTGACATAAAGCTGCTCTGACACAGGCTACCACTGTCTGAGAAAGACCACACTCCTGTTTCCCAGAGTACTCTAAAACCAGACATACAAACAATCACAAATCTACACACACACACACACACACTGAAGCCTGCAGCCGCTGCAGTGACCTGGGAGGCAGGCAGACATGGGAAGGGGTGCGCGTGGGGTTTCCTCCCGCCTTTCTCTTTACCTGTTCTGCCAGAAGGTGCTGTTGCCTTTGCAAAAACTGCTGTTGCTGCAAATGCTTCTGTTGTTGCTCCCTCTGTTTCTGTTGGTCCAAAAGCAACTGATGCTGCTTCATTACCGCTGCCTGCTGCTGGCTACTGAGATAGGAGGTGCTACTGTGAGTGCTGGCCACGGAAACGGCAGGTGGCTGAGTCCCCACGCTGGCAGCCTGGGTTGGAACAGGGACGCTGGGAGGGTTCTGGTCCTGTCAACAGAGACAAGGGGGTCTCAAGTCAGGTGGGACACAGTGAGGACTATAAGCCCTGATCAGAGTGGATGAGCTCTGTTTAGTGAAAGCCTGGCTCCAGGTTCTCTTCTGAAGCCTCTGCTTTTTTGGCACGTGACTCCAGAGCAACAGCCCTAACACCTGAGTGTCCGGGCACGGCAACGAGCAGTGAGTAGCTGAGTATTAGCCTTGTTTCCTACACTCACCAGCAGCTTAAACTTGCATATTCCAAAAGCAACTGTAGCTCGTAAATGCTCCCTTACTGGAATGCATGGGACCGGACAGGCCCCCAGGGAAGGATTAATGAGGGACCCTGGCTGATGGAGAGGCTACGCTCTGAGTGTGCAAACCTTGGGCCCCTGGCGGCAGGGCTGTCCCTGAACCAACAGAAATTACATGGTTTGTCCACCTATATACAGCATTTTCTGGGAACAGACTGTTTGGCTTCTGTCAGATTTGTTGTTGTGGCTTAGTCACTGAGCTGTGTCCAACTCTTGCAGTTCCACAGACTGTAGCCCACCAGGCTCCTCTGTCCATGTGGCAATATAGTGGCTGAAGTAAGTAGAAGGATGAACACATACACATACATTCTTCTACCGAGAGATGCTTAGACTGCTTTCACTTTTTGGCTATTAGGAATAATCATGCAATGAATGTCTTGTATATAGCATTTTTCTTTTTTTTGTATTATTTCTTGCAGGGGTATAATGTGTCAACGTTTACAAACATTTTTATGGCTTACGAAAACTATATAATGTCAAATTACTTTCTGAAAGCACTGTGCCCATTTACACATCCTTACTACTATCTGAAACATGTCGATTTACTCAGCTGTTACTAGCATTGAGTTTTTCTATTTTTAAAATATTCAGTTCAGTCGCTCACTTGTGTCTGACTCTGCAACCCCATGGACTGCAGCACACCAGGTTTCCCTGTCCATCACCAACTCCCAAAGCTTGCTCAAACTCATGTCAATTGAGTCAGTGATGCCATCCAACCATCTCATCCTCTGTCATCCCCTTCTCCTCCCACCCTCAATCCTTCCCAGCATCAGGGCCTTTTCCAATGAATCAGTTCTTCACATCAGGTGGCCAAAGTATTGGAATTACCGCTTCAGCATCAGTTCTTCCAATGAATATTCAGGACTGATTTCCTTTAGGATGGACTGGTTGGATCTCCTTGAGTCCAAGGGACTCTCAAAGTCTTCTCCAACATCACAATTCAAAAGAATCAATTCTTCAGTGCTCAGCTTTCTTTATAGTCCAACTCTCACATCCATACATGACCACTGGAAAAACCATAGCTTTGACTGGGCAGACCTTTGTTGGCAAAGTAATGTCTCTGCTTTTTAATATGCTGTCTAGGTTGGTCATAGCTTTTCTTCCAAGGAGCAAGCGTCTTTTAATTTCATAGCTGCAGTCACCACCTGCAGTGATTGTGGATCCCCCAAAAAAGTCTGTCACTGTTTCGTTTCCCCATCTGTCTGCCATGAAGTGATGGGACGGGATGCCATGACCTTAGTTTTCTGAGTGCTGAGTTCTAAGCCGGCTCTTTCACTCTCATCAAGAAGCTCTTTAGTTCTTCACTTTCTGCCATAGTGTGGTGTCATCTGCGTATCTGAGGTTATTGGTATTTTTCCCGGCAATCTAGATTCCAGCTTGTGCTTCATCTAGCCTGGCGTTTCTCATGATATACTCTGCATATAAGTTAAATAAGCAGGGTGATAATATACAGCCTTGACGCACTCCTTTCCCAATTTGGAACCACTCTGTTGTTCCATGTCCAGTTCTAACTGTTGCTTCTTGACCTGCATACAGATTTCTCAGGAAGCAGATAAGGTGGTCTGGTATTCCTTTCTCTTGAAGAATTTCCCACAGTTTGCTGTGATCCACACAGTCAAAGGCTTTGGCATAGTCAATAAAGCAGAAGTAGATGTTTTTCTGGAACTCTTGCTTTTTTGATGATTCATGGGTGTTGGCAATTTGATCTCTGGTTCCTCTGCCTTCTGTAAATCCAGCTTGACCATCTGGAAGTTCTTGGTTCACGTACTGCTGAAGCCTGGCTTGGACAATTTTGAGCATTACTTTGCTACTGTGTGAGGTGAGTGCAATTGTGCAGTAGTTTGAACATTCTTTGGCATTGCCTTTCTTTGGGATTGGGATGAAAACTGACGTTTTCCAGTCCTGTGGCCACTGCTGAGTTTAAAATGTTAGTGTGTTACAAATACACAATGGTACATTCACTGCAGCCTTTTACTTACAGTAGTGAAAGGAAGGAGATACCTCACTGCACCGTGTCAAAACAACTGTCATACAACTGTTATAATGTCACACCACTAACAGCTAAGTGTCAGTGGGTCCATCTATGTGGAAGATAGTCCAGGACATACTGCAGTAAAGAAAAGGCAAGTGCTAGCTCTGAGGAAGTCTGGGAATACTGTTTGTTTACTCTTCTGGGGGGCGGGGGGGGGGCGGGTAGACGAGACATTTTAGAACGTGAATGTGAGTAGAAATGCAAACAATGATCATGATAAAATGGTACTCAACATTCTCCACCCTTCAGAGCCAAGTGATTCTACCAGGCTTGAGAGCCTTAAGTAAATAACCATGGAGTTTAGACCTGTTAGGAAGCAGCATTCACTTAAATGCTATAAGCTTACTAAAACTTATGGCTTTTTGAACATACGTATCTGAAAGTCTGTTTAAAAAAGAAAAAAAGCAGAGCCTCTAAGGACATTAAATGTGATCTTTACCTTCAAAACACTGCCACAAATGATTTAAGTTGTATGGCATGAAAGATACTAGACCAAGTGCAAGGGATTCTATCCTATTTTACTGAGAATCAATCCTGGTTTGCTTGATCGAGTTTCGTTCCCAAGGGCGTTGAAGGTCAAAAAGCAGCTGCTCACTTCCTCCCTTTGTTCCCCAGCTATCTGGGGCCTGAAAAGCCACTCGGTGGGTGGGTGTGAATGCAGAGTATCGGAGCAAAGACCCGTGCTCACCTGGCTAGGTGCAACCAGTGATCGGAAGGGCATATTTCCTGGCTTTGGTTTTATCAGAAATAAGGAGCTCTGCTCACTGCTAAGATGAGGCAGCTGCTGGGGGAGATAAGCCATCAGGGCTGGCTTGCTCTGGCCAGCCCCAGGGCCGCCTTGCCCACAGTCCGCTTTGTAGTGAGAAAGGGGCTTGGTGTTGCCATAGTCCAGCACCGAGCCTTGGCTAGCCACAGGGTTCTGATTCAAGTTACTTGGCGGCTGGTGGCTCAGCAGGCTCACATGGCTGGGCTGGAGGTAGGGGCCTCCAGGTCGAGGGGAGCTCTTGTTGACACTGGGCATCATGAGCAGTTTGGAGGTGGTGAAGTCTTGCTTGTAACCAGGAGGGCTGGCCGGCTTTTCCATGGGATAAGGGGCGTTTAAGGGACTGTGGGCGGGGCCTGTCTGCTGCCATGTGGACATCTGGCCTGGAGTGGGTGCTGGGGCAGCCTGCTGCGGGTTCTGGAGCATCTGCTCACGCTTCTGCTTGGCAGCAATCTGCTGGAGTTGGTGGGCAGAGGACAGCTCTGAGCCTCCACCTGGGCCCTGGCTAGGCAGCACCACACTAGAGAGGGCTCTTTGTGCACTCTGGGCCTGGGCTGATGCCGGCATCAGGCTGGGGCTGGGACTGTCCACCCCAGGCTGACCAGCGGTGTGGAAGAGGGGCTGGGAGCCCCCGAGGCTGGGTGAATCTGTGGTCACAGGGCCAGATGAAGGCCCCATAAAGGTCTGTCCCGCAGACCCAGCCCTCACTTGTGGAGAGCCTAACTGTTCCTGTTCAAAGGCCGCTGGAGAGAATTCCGTCTTAATATTAATGTCCTGTGCCAACGGGGTCTGTGTGGCAGAACCAGAAGACTCTGGGTCCTTCTTCTCTTCAAAGTCCTCATTGAACAGATCCTTCATGTCTTCATCAGGCACTGACCTGTTCAGCTCCTCGATGAGCTCCTTCCACTCCTGCTCATTGAGGTTGAGGTCAGGCATGAGGTTGCCTTGAGAGATGGAGCCTCCGGCCCCTGAGATCATGCAAGGCAGGTCATCCATGGGCTCCTGTTTCAGTTCTTTATTCAGGCTCAGGGGAAATGACTCACTACTGTTGCTGCCTCCATTCAAGTGGAGGCTCGAGTCTGCCAGACACTTCTTACTGATGGAGTCCAGCCCCAGTGCGTGCTTCCCAGTGGCCTGCAGGGCTTCAGGGCCAGGCTTGTCGGGCTGGCCAAGCGGGGAAGCCGGGGGCAGGCCGTTGGAAGAGACGGCGGCTCCCAGAGAGGCCTCTCGGCGCGTCTTCTTGTGCCCAGGAAAGAAATCTCCATAGCCATTCTGCTGATCACCATTTTGAGGGGATGTGGCATTGTCGAGATTCCTCTTTACCGTATCATGGAGATGCTGAAAAACATGAAAAAGAGTGACTCATGTATACAGCACCACGTATGTGACCCCTCTACTTCTGATGGTGACTTAAACCACGGTGGTCTGTACCCTCTGGAGCACTCTCCTGCTGGTTCTGCTTGCCTACTTTACACTCTCCACTTCTGGGAACACACACCCATTTCCCCTCCAGGGCTGTCTTCCCCTTCTCCCTTCCTGTGGCCTTGCTTGAATCAGGACTAGCTCAGCTGTGGCTAAGCAACCCAGCTGCAGTCAGTGAGTCAGTCCCTGGACATATGCAGCTCTTTTTGTAGGATGCAAGCCTGAAGCGGCCCAGAGTCATCTAATCTAAGGGTGTGCCTGATAATGGAGCTGATAAGAAAGAGCCACAGGATACACACACACACACACACACACACACACACACACACACACACACACATTTCTGAGAACATCATTTGAGTTCCGGGATCGAGGTTATGCCTAAGACCAGCCATCCCCCTGGACTTTTCACTTATGGGAATCAATGAATTCCGCCTTATGTTTAAGATGGTTTAACTTGGATTTCTGTTGCTCTTGGCTAAAGGAGACTGGCCAGTGCAGGTGGGACCTTGACGGGGGCTGACCACATGCTCCAGGCCTCGTCCCAGTGCACAGCGCTTTCACGCCCTCCTGAGTTCTTCCAGGTGCCCTGCTGGCTCCACCCTTCTCTCCAGGCTGGCCGGGCTGCTTCCTCATACGCCTCACAGATCCTCTGCCTTTTGTCCCACTCTCCTCCCCACCAACCCAGAGCGCCTTCCACCCACTGAACCCAGTCACCAGCCCTCACAGACCCTACCACTTCTGAATAAGGCTGTTAATTCCAATACAGTCACATCTGCCTGGCATTGCTACTTACCTCCCTTGTTCTCCTCAACTGCATTTGTTCAACTAACCTTATTAAGAGTCTACCATGTGTCAGGCACAAGTGCTCTGGGGATATCAAGACAAGTGAGGTGGTCCCATGGGCTTCCAATCTGCTGGGACATGGCCACAGAATGAGATAAACACTATGCAAGCAGTAGAGCAATAAGCGCCCTGAGAGTTGAAGGACAGGCGTTCCCCAGAGAGAACAGGACAGTGCGGCTGGGGAAGAGAAGCGGCGTGATCTTTCCACGTTTCCCCAGCTCTGCTTTCAGCTGCTGGGACTCAACCCCTCCCCTAACAGAGGCACCGACACTCAGCCTCTGAGCATGGCTGCTCCTTTCTACGCTTACTTCCGTTACACCTTTATCCCTTCTCCCCCACTCTCAATTCCATACCCCCAACTAGCCCTAAGCCCTAAGCACCTATACAGTGCTGTTTACAAAGTTCCAAATAACAGCTTTCAACATTATCGTTAAGCAGGTTTCAGGGAACAGCATAGGACACTCTGCGCTGCTGTCTTCCGCTGCAGAGAAGGACCACAATGACCCCCCGGCACCCACTCTATGAGGCTGAATGCAGAAGCACCTGATCCCCAGGTGGGAGCGGGGGGCAAAGGGGGCCAAGGGCACCAGCTCTCAGCAAGAAACTACCTGTAGACACACACGTGCAGTGAGCAAGAAAATAAGGAGGATAATTTTATCAATCTCTGAGTTTCAATGTTCCATTCCCTCTCCTTCAAGATTTTCTTATTTAACTGTTAAAGCTGACTGCACAGTGTTCTGTAAATCCTGGCTAAGTACTTCTTTATTTTTTATTTATTTATTTTTCCATTTATTTTTATTAGGTGGAGGCTAATTACTTTCCAATAAGTACTTCTTTAAATAGATAGTTGGGTACTTAAGTTAGCTCAGAAAAAGTTAAAAATGCTGAATAAATGGAACTGTAGGTCAGAGGTATAAGCAAAACATGATCCTAAGACCCAACTCAAGAACACAGCCCCTGTGTATAAAGGACACATATCTCAAGACAATAAATTTATGACAAATTCACAGTCAATATAATATTCAATGGTAAGAAGCTGAAAGCCTTCCCACTAATTCTGGAATAAGACAGGATGCTCACTCTCATCTCTTCTATTCAACACAGTACTGAACGTCCTAGCCACAGAAATTAGGCAAGAAAAGGAAATAAAAGGTATCCAGATTGGAAGAGGAAAGGTACAATTATCATTATATGCAGATGATAATACATATAGAAAACCCTAAATACTTCACACAAAAACTACTAGAACTGATAGATTAAGCAAGGTAGCAGGATACAAGATTAACATACATAAATCAATTGCATTTCTTTATACCAACAATGAAATATCAGAAAGGGAATGAAAAACAAACAAACAAACAAATCACCTTTTAAAATGTGTGCTCAGTCACTCAGTTGTGTTGGACTCTTTGTGACCCCATGGACTTAGAGCCTGCCAGGCTCCTCTGTCCATGGAATGTTTCCTGGCAAGAACACTGCAGTGGGTTGCCATTTCCTTCTCCAGGGGATCTTCCCAACTCATGGATCAAACCTGTGTCTCCTGAGTCTCCTGCATTGGCAGGAGGATTCTTTACCATTAAGCCACCCAGGAAGCCCCAAAAATTCATAACAGAAAAGGAATGTTTATAAAAAACAAACAAAAATCTTTTAAAAAGTAAACCCCAAAATAAAACACTTAGGAATAACCCTGACCAAGGAGGTGGAAGTCTTACATGCTGGAAACTATACAACACTAAAAAAGGAAATTGAAGCTGACAGAAAGAATGGTAAAGTAATCCCATGCTCCATAGTTCAAATGGCCATATGACCCAAAGCAATTTACAGATTTAATGCAATCCCTATCAAATTACCCATGACATTTTTCAAAGAACTAGAACAAATAATCCTAAAATTCATATGGAACCATAAAAGACCCAGAATTGTCAAAGCAATCCTGAGGAAAAAGCTGGAAGCATAACCCTTCCAGACTTCAGATGATACTACAAAGCTATAGTAATCAAAACAGTGTGATACCGGCACAACAACAGACATATGGATTAATAAAACAGAACCAAAAGACCAGAAATAAACCCATACACCTATGACCAATTAATCTTCAACAAAGGAAGCAAGACTATACAAGGGGAAAAAGACAGTTTCTTTAGGAAGTAATGTTGGGAAAATTGGATAGCTGCATGTAAATCAATGAAGTTAAAACAAATCCTCTCACCATACACAAAAATAAACTCAAAATAGTTTACAGACTTAAACATAAGACATGATACCATAAAACTCTCAGAACAGGTCATAGGCAAAGCATTCCTTGCTCTAAATTGTACCAATGTTTTCTTAGATTTCCCAAGGCAAAAGAAATATAAATCAAAAGACAAAGCAAAAACCCTCAAATAGGACCTAATGAAACTTACATGGTTTTACATAGCAAAGGAAACCAATGACAAAATGAAAACACAATCTATATAATGGGAGAAAATATTTGCAAATGATGCTCCCTCAGGACTTAATTTCTAAAATATACAAACAGCTCATACAACTCAACAACAAAAAACCCAAACAACTCAATCAAAAAATGGGCAGACCTATAAATATTTCTGCAAAATAGACATACAGATGGCCAACAGGCACATGAAAAGATGCTCAACATGGCTAATTATTAGAGAAATGCAAATCAAAACTACAATGAGGTAGCACTGCACAATGATCAAACTGGCCATCATTTAAAAGTCTACAAATAGCAAATGCTGTTGTTGTCCTACACTGCTGGTGGGAATGTAAGTTGGTGCAGCAACTGTGGAGAGCAGTATGGAGGTTCCTCAAAAAATTAAAAACAGAATTACCATATGATCCAGCAATCCCACTCCTGGCCATATATTCAGACAAAACTATAATTCAAAAAGATACATGTACCCCTATGTTCACAGCAGCACTATTCACGATAGCCAAGTCCTGGAAACCACTTAAATGCCCATCGACGAGTGAATGGATAAAGATGATGTGGGACATACATACAGAGGAGTACGACTCAGCCATAGAGAAGGAACCGATGCCACTTGCAGCAACATGGCTGAGACTGTCATACTAAACAGAGTCCGTAAGAAAGAAAAAGACAAATGCCAAGTGCTGTCATTTATATGTGGATCCTAAATATCCCCTGGAGAAGGAGGAATGGCAGCCCACGCCAGTAAGCGTGCCTGGGAAACCCCATGGACAGAGCAGCCGGGCAGGCTACAGTCCATGCAGTTGCAGAGACTAAACAACAACAGCCAAACGCGACACCAATGAACCCGTCTGTGGAAAAGAAACGGAACCACAGACTGAGGACAGCCTGGTGGCTGCTGAGAGGGACAGGGGCTGGAAGAGGGTGGACATCGGAGGCTGTGGTTAGCACACGTAAGTTTTTATATACAGAATGAGTAAACAAGGTCCTGCGGTATAGCACAGAGAACCACATTTAATATCCCGTGATAAACCAAAATAGAAAAGAATACAAAAAAGAAGTGTGTATATACATACATATATATAACTGAATCACTTTCTGTATAGCAGTAATTAACACAACACTGTAAATCAACCATACTTCAATTATAAAAATAACACTAACACAGCCCCTACAACACAAGGACATGTGCTTTATTTTCATGTAGGTTTTTCTGCTTCTTGCTGCCACCTAGGGGTAAGGGGGGGGAAAAGGAATCATGATCCTAAAATGGACCCTTCGTAACATCCATTGTTTTAAAAGTTCCTTTGGGGAAAGTAAAATTTATACCCATTTAATTAGTCAGAAGGGAATCAAAATGAGTTGCGAAGACTGAAGGGATTTTTTTCTTATTTTTTATTAAAGGACAATTGTTTTACAGAATTGTGCTGTTTTCTGTCAAAACTCAACCAGAATCAGCCATAGATATACATATATCCCCTCCCTTTTGAAATTCTCTCCCATCTCCCTCCCCATCCCACCCCTCTAGGCTGATACAGAGCCTCTGTTTGAGTTTCTTTGTTTAGTTCAGTCACTCAGTCAGGTCTGACTCTCTGCGACCCCACGGACTGCAGCACGCCAGGCCCCCCTGTCCATC